TCAAAAGAGAAAAAAAAAAAAAAAAAAAAAAAAGCAGGGGGTGGGAGGAGCCTTCCATAAAAAGCAGTCTGATCCGTAGCAGTTTCTCCTTTGAAAAATGGCTACATCTACATTGGTCCTGGGCGCCGCGGGCTGAGGGCGGGTAGAGCCTGGGGTGCTCTCTGGCCGGTACTCCCTGCACGCCTACGTGCCTGCAGTGCAGGGGTTGGAGCCCAGCTTCCAGCAACCCTCGCAACGCCTCGGCCGTTTGACGACAGCCCCGTCTACGACGGATCCCTACCAGCCTGCCTGTGGAGCACCGAGCACAGGAGGTTCCTGAAGGAGAACTCAAGTGGGCAGCCAAAGAGGTCCCCCACCACACTTGTACTGCAGGCTGAAGCCATGCAGTGGAGCCTCACGTGTCCAAGTGTCCCCTGTGACCCACCTCAAAGCCTGCCTGAGCCCAGGCCTCGGACGTACAAGCTGGCATCCAGGCATTTCTGAAAGGAGGCAAGGCTGGACACAAGGGCAGGTCGGAGACATGGTCGAGACCTGGCCAACCTGCCACGCGTGAGGATTTTGCCAAAGTTCTCACCACAGTCTTGATTCTGTTTCCACTAAAGCACAATAGGGAGCATATTTTTAAAAAGTCGCTGATGTCTTTAGGAAGAAAACATTTCAGATTTTAGTAGATAATTTACGCCTGATCAATTTTGATGGAAAGAGTTCCACTAAAGACACTTGTCTCTAAGTTCACCAACAAATAGTCCTCCAGATTTCATAGTAAGTCTGGCATAAAGTTAATGGATCCCCAAAAATCAAGTGTTAAAGAGCTTGAAATGTATACATTTGTCTTAAACATACTGATAGCATCGTGCTTAATCTTTTTTTTTACCAGTAACATTCTTAATTCTTAATTAATAAAATAATAATATAATAATAAAATTCTTAATAAATAATGCACTCCCTCTTCCTTAATATTATGATCAACAACAGAGTTACAATTTTTTTGTTTGGAAGAAAAGGTGAAGGAAGGGGAGAAAGGAATGGGAGATGCTCTTTGGAGTATCGGCCCCCTCAGGTTCGGATGGAAGGGTCTCCAGCTCTTCCTCCTCCTTTCTTTTTACTTCACTTTTTTTCATGTTTAAAAACAATAATAATCAGTAGCTTAAAGAGCTATTTGCTGAGTGCAAGGTTCTGTCAGTTCCTGCCCAAGCCATGCACTCAGAAACACAGCAGCCTTGTTAGAGCCAAACCTTCCGAACAAGAGACACGGCACGGGACATGTGCGTTCCTTGCCTCTTTGGACTCTGTAAAACGGCTGATTTACAAGTATCTCCTACAGGCTTGCTTCCTTTAGTATATCCCCTTTGATCCTTGTTTTAAATGTTTCTTCTTTCTGTAACAATTTTTAATGTTACCAGAAGACCTGACCTGGATTTCAGAAAATTATATACTACAGACACCAGTTACGCCACAGGCACCATAGAGCAGCACCAGACACTGACCACGAAGTCTTATCTCACACCTCTCCCAGACTTCTTTAAAGAAACAGGAAAAACAACAGAGCCAGCAACCATTCCACCAATGGGATTAGTTGCTTCCTTCTGCCAAAGCACAACTCTAATACCTTGCTACATGCTTTTAAGGACTCATTACAGTAATATTGTAGGAAAGGGTAATACATCTTGCGTTCATAAATGCAAGAGCCAGATCCATAAAAGGGACAGGTAGGGATCGCTGCAACTAATGCCTAACTCTTGAGTTCTGGGAATGAAGCTTCCCTACGTATATCAGGCACGATAGCTCCTTTAAAGGCAAACGGGGAGAGGTTAGGAGCCCAGCGATGGCCCTCCAAAGAGTCAGCACTGAGCGAGGGAAAAATCTCGCCAAACAAGGGGAAATGCTGGAGACATCGGATGGAAAAATCTCACCCCTCTTGCAGACTTTGCAACCCACCTGCAGCACCAATCAAGGCACAATTCCCTGCAACCCTCATACACACTTAAAAACTCACAAAAACAAGCTGCACCCCACAAAAAACAAACCATGGCCACAGACGAAAAGCAGCAACAGCGTTGCCTCTACACAATGGCCTGTTGCTTACATCTCTTGCACATGGGTTGGGCCATAAGGCAAGGCTGGGCGTGGGGGCCGAGTAGGACGCTTTTTGCTCCTTGCACTTCTGTGATTTGTGCTGAACTCGGTGCTTCCAGCATGTGCTAGACATTAGCCACTCCTCTGCGTACACTACGGGATCAGGTCCTTCAAGTCACTCAAGCAAAAAGATACCTAATTTGCAAGCCCATAAAGGTCTTCAGCAAAGGAGCAGGATGCCAGGAGCACATAGCATGGGGTGAAAGTCTCAGGACAATATGACAATACACACAGATGGGTAAAACTATAACATTAAAGACTTTATTACAAAAATAAAGGAGGATACAAAGTCAGAAACAAGTATTACAGCCACCTGACAGCTCCTTAAGAAGGAATTTGGAGGAGGATTAAACAAGTGTGAGGAGGAGATGGCGGCTGGTCACTCACGTACACAGTGACAGGCAGATCTGGCCACCTCTGCAATGTGGTGCACGCCCTGTTCACACTCCGCTGCTGGTCATCCCTTGCTGTGGCTGAGCACGTTTGTCCTGCAGTAACACTCTCTTAGTCCAGAAGGAAATTCACAGTCCCTCCTCTAGACCGCCTGGACTTGGTGGAACGGTGCTGTCAGGGGTGAGCCTCTCCATCCTGCACCTGCCCAAGCCATCATTCCCACAACAGCTGTGGTGATAGCAACACCAGTGACGAAGGAGACCAACACAAGCACTCCTTTTCCCAGTCAGTAAACTGCAAGTGGTCATCCTGTCTCCAGCACCACACCCTACCTAAACCCCGTTCATCATGGCTCTGAGTACCTGCGCCATTCTCCAGCGGTGGTGCTGGGATGCAGCTAGGCATTGAGCAGGCCATACGTGTGCCTGCACGCTCCGGAGTAGGGTAGGGGCTTCGTAACACACTTTGTTGACTTCGTTTTATGTGCCGTTTTCTGGGATGTGATGCACAGACTGCACAACTATGCCAACCACAGCTGAAGAGTCCAGGAAAAATAGCAGCAGGCACAAAACTGAGATGGCATGTCATGCCCTGGCCAGGATAGTGGCTCTCTCTGCCTTTGAGTGTATGGCTTGAGAGTGACGATCTGAGGAGAAAGGTGTCCAAAAGAAGCAGCATCTGTGGTGATGAAATTTAGCATCTTCCTGTTATTGGAGAAAGGCCTCTTAAGAAATGAGTAGTAATAGGAATTGTCTGGAAAACTATTTTGTCTTCTGAGAAAGGGAATCCAGAAACAAACGCTGTTTGGAATTTTCCTGGACAGATGTCTGATGACAGACGTCCATCTGAGCCCAGACAAAGGCATAACTGTTACGGGCCATTCTTCTTTCCTGCTGTTAGACAGGCCTGTTAGACATGGCGTAGTTGTGATTCACTACCACAAAGCACTAGAAAAAAAATCAGGGAGGCGGAGCACTCTTGATTTGGTCTGGACGCTGGGACTTGGTAAGTTCTGAGGTCTTTTCTTTCCCCTAGGTTGTAACCTGCAAAGGCAGAGAGACAATAGTTTTGGGAGGTGGGTAAGGCCTTGGGTCCTCTGGAGTAGCCTCCAACGGACCCTTTTCCCTGCTCGCAACATACAGGATTCCCCCAACCTATGCCTCTCCTGCAGCAACATCAAGGCCAGAATGAGGTACTTACCGCTTAACTTGAGGAGAAGTCTCTGCTCTCCGCTGGGCCGTGGAGGGAGCGTGGAGGAACCTGTTCCTGTCAGCCAACAGGCAATGAAGCGATCAAATTACGCTTTGGAAAACAGTGAGCGCTGCCTGAGTTTTCACCTAATACTGGCCAGTTCTTGTCATCTCTGCTCTGTGAAACTACTGTTTCCTCGGCTTTATATTACGCTGGAGTTGGAAGAAAAAAAGAGACTGCATGTACAAGATCTTTTTGCAAATGAAAAAGTACAAGGTAGATGTTGGCCAGAAACATAGAAAATGTAGAGGTGTGGAAAGACAAGAGGGTTGGAGCAGGCATGGCGTTAAGTCTGTACAGCTGCCCAGTGGAAGCTACGAAGACATTATTCAGAGGTGAGCCTAGCTATCCAACATGCTGCCAATAAGGCATAGAGGAGACATGAGCATCTGGCCGGATGGAACTGAATCACTCGGTAATTTGGGGAGATAACTGCACTTTTACTAGCTAATTTAGGAGACAAAGGTCCTGGGTCTTAGACGTCTAGGCACCTGGGTAAGACTTTTGTGAATTGGGAGATCTAAATCTTTCTTATTTTATATTTGCGAATCTGGCTCTCATTTCCTAAAAATGTTCCAAACTCTTGCTCTCCTCCGCTAAAGAAGAAAAACAAAAAATAAAACTATGAGATTCAAATTGTCATTTAGCATTCATATAGCACTTGACAAACTATTAAGAATTGAACTTTGCTGCTCTTACTCACACTATTTAGCGCTCATTCACCCCTAAGAGCAGCAGTCAAGCAAGTCACCTTGAGCTGAGAAAGGCTTGTGGAGCCAAACAGTTTAGGCCAAAAGATGTGCTGGTACGGCTACTTTAGCTAAGAAGTAATTGTATTTTTGCTAAACCAGTTCCAGTGCTAAAAGTCTAATTTTGAGCATGAGAGCATCAATAATTATTAAGAGCACATTTGTAATAGGATTCTTAGAAGTTAACAACTCACTGCAGGCACGTCTAAATGAGTGCATTTACCCGTACTCCTGGGAGAAAGGCATAGGAAGCAGGGGAGCAGGAAGGTACCACTGCCAAGGAGCTGTTTGCAATAGTGCTGACATCAGAAAGAGGTGGCTGGGGCAGGGATGGAGCCCGAGTACAGATGATATGGCTAGGAGTATCCAACAGTTCAGAAACCAAAAACAGTGAGAACTCAAGGTTGCTGTGAGCCACATCGCCACCTTGCAGCTACTAACCACTACGACCAGCTCACACGCGAGAGCCCTTGCTCAGACACTAAAAGGCAGTAGCAGGGCTCCCGGCAGCCACAAGCTCCCCGGGCTCCATTTCTCTGTACTGCTTAATCACTGCCTCCTCACTATGGCTCCATCGTGAGGAAGAGGAGGAGAAATAATCTACGGAAGAATTGTTGCGACACACAACTGTCCTGGGATGGCTGTGTCACAGCGGGAAACGCCACAGGGCACAAACGTACGCAGCAAGAGAGTAAGACGCAGCTACTAGAAGCCTAGTGTCTCCCTGGCTCCCAGCGTTGTGCAGGTTCATGCAGTGTCCTCAGTGCAAAGACTGGCCTCCGTACTGCGCTGAAATCATAAGATGTGCTACATTGCTTTAAATGATGCCCTAGCTGATTTCAAAAACGTAGACTTAATTTGCTGAAGTTTCCTTAGATCAACACTTCAAAGTCCAAGGCTTTTAAAGTATCTTAAATCAAAAAATTAATGCTAACTTTCAGGCCCCACACCCTCCATTTATGCACCTAAACAAGCACAGGCAGCTTCTAAAAATCTGGGGTATCTCACAGCTGCCACACACTTTGCTTGGACGGCACCCTTCCAAGGACACACTTTAGCAGGAACTAGTGGGCAGCACTCACATACTGTGATGGCTATAAATGGAGTAACAATGTATCCGTAGGCAATTTGTTTTTTTTCCCCCCTTTTTCTTTTTTTTTTTCTTAGTCTTGGACAAAGGCTTTTTGAAAGCAAAAACATCGGCATAGTTTTCTCTCTGCAATAAACGTATTATGAAAGTTTACATATTTCTATTAGTCTGACTGCCTCCAGATTTTTGGCACGCCTCAGGACAGTTCTATTTTTAAAACTTTCCTGCATACAGAATACTAGATAGAGAGCTTTAAAATTTGACCAGACCGTATTACTACTGAAATATTTTCTAGGATGCACAGACATTTCAAGGATACAGATGATTTTGCACATCTTAGCCGGAGGAACTATTCAAATATCAAAAGTTTAAGCTACTGTTAGAAAATAATTTAAAGCTCTAGAATGCTACGAAAAAGGTTCTTACTTTCAGATACCATAAATCTGAGGTTAATTGTGCACAAGAAATCTTAAGGTGAATGAACTGCAGGGAATTAAAGACTTTGGAAGAATCATAATGTTCTGTAAAACTGCCTGACTGAACCCACCGACTGATCTTGCAGAAGCATATCTACATTAAACAGCAACGAATATTAAAAGCTACCCAAGCAATCAGTGCTGTAAGCTTTGGGAAAACACAGAGGCTGTGGCAGCCCAGTGAGAATCCTAGCAGACAGAAGTGACCTCCATATTTACAGACTTTGAAGCCCTGAAGAATTTTCTGTCCATTAATTCTCTCACTTCTCTCCCTCAGCTCCTCGGATGGCCCTGCCTACTTTCTAGCGAGCCAGATCCCCCCCTTACTGCCTCCATTATCCCCTCTCCTCCCTCCCCGCTTTCCACCCCACTCTGTATTTCACTTCTCTCCCGACCACCAATTCTTCCTTGTCTTCCCGCTGAGCATTAGCCCATCTGCTGGTGCTGCGTCTCCTTCTCGCTCCCATGACCAATTTCTTGGCAGCACCCGGCATCCCCTCAGAGCAGAGCATGAGACTACGCAGGTAACAAGCTGAGGGAGGAAGGAAGGGCTCTTCGCGGGCAGACAGCCAATTCGGGCAGGACCAGGAGGAACCACACTGCCACAGCTCAAAGCCAGCTGCAGCTTCTCCCAAGGCAAAAGCCGGGGAAGATCGAGACAGAAGGCACACGGCATCGTTCCTGAACCCTATCAGGGCAGAGGTGGTGTCGTCCCTCCCAGAGGGCCTCAGTTTTTTTGTCTAGCTGACATTTACAGGACAGAAGTAACAATCAGAAGTATTCAAGTACCAAATGGAGGGGGGGGGGAAAAAGGATATAAGGACATCATGATGACTTAAACAATATAATTTACAGTTAGTTAAAGATGAGAAAAAATGTCTTCAGGAGTTCTTTTTTTTATAGTTTTGAAAATGAACTCTTGCCTAATCACACATCTAGCTGTCTGAATCCCTGAGTGGATATGTCAAGTTTGTACTAACGTATGTGAAACCTGTACTTAAGAAGATTCAATCTTTTCTGGACATTTTAAAGAGGTAGTTAGCCCAGGCAGCTAGTACTCCACAACTCTAATTCAATGCATTTGTTAATTCTTCACCCTTACCCCAGTCTCAAAAGTACAGTTTTCGCAGATATTTTAGGTAAAATAGTTTAATAGATGTCCTCATCCTACACAGATCCCCAAAGCCTCAAACATATATAATGCATATCCAAGGAAAGGATCAAGTGCCTTCACTATGGAGCGCTTAAAATAGAATAAAATATTCCTCAGGGTTTTCGTGTCTTTAGAAAAGAACTATGCAGTCCTACTAATCTGATAACACGACTAAAATGGGAATTTTAAAACCATACATTTATATTTTCCTTCTCCAAAACCAGTACTTGCCTGATTAAATTAGACTAAACTAACTGTTTTACTTAGTGGAAAATTAACTACTCCCACGTGCATGACTATAAGCTTAACTGGCTTTATTGCTGCAAGTATTTATAGTTTGGTATCACCACCACAGACAAACAGGAATATAACCAGAGGCGTTTTTGTCAGGGCAGTTATCCTCACGATCTTACAATCTCAACGTGTGAACCCATAAATGAGGTAGTAGACAGCAGTCTTTGCAAAAGCACGGTTGATTTGCTACAGCAAGTTTGACCACAGCATCTCCTAGTTATATATCATACCTACCATTTCTCAAAAGATGCTAGAAAGCCAAGATGCAACTGTTAAAATACCAACTTTGCTACTAACTGTGTGACACTGGGCAGGCAGTCATTCCACCTGCCAGCGTTTGCTTCCCATGCCACCATGGCCCAGCTGGTTTATGTAAAGTATAAACCTGTCCCTCTTTCTTACTATAGACTTGAGGTTTACTCAGAACGATGAGATCCTTTTCCATGGTAAAGCCTTGCGATACTGCACCATTATAATGAATGATAATAATACATCTGCCTGGATCAAACAAACTAGGAAAATGCCCTTTTCCTAGGGAAAAAAAAAAAAAAACTGAGGCCATATCCTCCTTCTTCTTAAAGGTTAGCTCCTACTGATACCCTTGCACAGATACAAATTAGAACTACTCAAGCTGATGGAGTTACACAGCATCAAAACATTGTGCGAACCCTGAGAAGACCTGCACCCAAGCCCATTATTTTACAGCACAAATTATTTACTTGAGTTTTTATCTGGAAGCCTGTCTATCTTCCACACAACAGCCCTATAGGCACTTTCATATTTTGCTGTTCCAACTGAGACTTGTATTACAGGATCAGATTCAATCTCATGTAAAGAGCCAAGGCATGTTCTTCTATTCATTTTTGCTTTTAGGGACTTCTGTCTTTGGAGGTTCATGGTCCAAAGTGCTTTGATCCACTGTGCAGGAACTGGAAATCGTATCATAACATTTTCACAGCATTTCATAGAAGGTAAACGTGTTGGTATCAGAGCAGTTGAAGACATGTTTATAAAAGCCTGAAGTTCTATGTATGCTCCCTGAACCACGACAGCAGCCTTCACAGAAAATGGAAGGTCTTGTCCATTATACTGTGTCTTGAAACGCATTAGCTCCAGCCTACAGGCATCAGGAGGTGTAAACTTAATAATTCGTGATTGCTTGAATTCCTGTGTTTTAACACAGTTATGGAAATGGTAGTCTAGAATACCAATCCATTTCTTCTCCTTCTCCTTCTCAAAGTAACGTTCATCCTTCTTCTGGAGTTCTAGATCATTTAAAGTTAAAAAGCAGTCAGTACTTCCATTCACAAAACATAAACAATAAATGTGTGTGATGACAGCACTTTCCACAAGTTTTCCTTCTGCTTTAGTGATTTTACCCCAAAAGTTATCCACTATTTCTAGAGTCATTTCTTGTTCTTCATAATTTCTTTTTTGTTTAGAAGGGGTGGGAAGTTTCATAAGCTCTTCCTCAACTGCTACAAGGAAATCAGTGAAGTCATTATAATCTGTGGTTCCTAACTTTAACATCTGCTCAACCTCTGGTTCATGGATCACTTCTACTTTGGGATGATACTTCCTTTTCTCTGTGTAAGATACGCACTCAATCTTCACAGTATGGATTTTTCCTGAAACGCTATAGCTCTCCAGTTTGGGTTCAGAAAGCTTACAGTGCGGTTGCAGCTGGAATTCTTTGAAAGGCTTCTCAAGGCCCTTTTCATAATACATTTGTAATATACCCCCAGCTAGGACTTTAAGGTAAATAGGACCCCATTGCCGAGATGACATCATATTCTTCTTCTCGGGAATTCTCAGCATGAAGGGCCATCCATCTGCTTTCTGACTCCTGAACAGACCGTGCGCAATGGCAGACGAGAGGTTGTGCCACACATGCGCGCTGGCAGCGGGTAGGCGTCCCACAGTGTCAGAGCTATCAGTTTGCAAGTGTTCAAGCCTTTCGCAGACGTAGCTGAAGGAACCCTGAGTAAGGCTCTTCTGATCATGGCAAGTTTCTTTTTCCTTGGAATGACAAACATTTCTGTCAAGTGCTTTGTCCTTTCTCTGTGTGTTAACATTAGGTGCTGATGTGCTGAGCAAACATCCGTCTTTCCAAAAGGGACTGGAAAAGGCACAGTCATCCTGGAAGTACGGGAAGCGCTCTGACGGTTCTCCTAACTCATCACAGCTTTCTTGCAGGTTAGGATTCCCTTCATCTTTGGATTTGGAGACTAAAATCTTAACCGGATTATCATCAGTCAAGGTGTTCACTGGAAGGCTGCTCAGTTTCTGCGAAGTTAAGGAAGCGCATACCCCAGGTGATGGGAGAAAACTACCTTTTGATGGCCATTCAGGAACAGGATAAAGGATATGGATCCCAGCCTTGGGGATACACGGACTTCCTGGGTAGTCTCTGGTAGGTGTGGTAAGTGGAGAGTTACTGGGGGGTCCGGGACTTAGGTAAAAGTCAACTACAGGAGAGGAGAGCGGAGTGCTGCCTGTAGAAGATGACCTACTTGAGGGTTCAGGCACGTTAGAGAGATTGAGCTTAAGGCCATTTGCTCTGCAACTACTCTGGTTTTCAGCTGATTTCTGAGGAGACTGGAAGAGCGGCTCATCATCGAAGGTTATCCAATTTGCTGGATTCGTGGAACACATCTTGTAGGAAAAACTTGAATCACTTGCACATGTATCATCTGCAAATCATCTATTAAGAAAGAACAGACATGATCAGAAAAAAATCCTCTTGAAAGACAAAACAAAGAAACCTGACCCTTATAACATGCAAGCCACACAAGGCTTACAATTTGCATGCGATTTACAAATCTGACCTACTTTGTGTTTTACATGTATAATCTGAGACAACCACGTAGAAACAGAAAAACTGCCCAAAAATCCCCACTGCTCTCCCAGGCTGGGAACCTGAGCTTTATGCTTTATGTTTAGAGCACCTGGTGTTTGCAGGCTCTATGTCAGAGACTACAGAAAGTCCTACAGGTCTGCAGGACTGCTTGCACACTGTTTTCCACTATCTAGGCTATCAGTAGCTTGTAATAGTTGTTGGAGGCCTGTAGCTAGCGGTGTCCCCCAGGGGTCAGTCCTGGGTCCAGTCTTGTTCAATGCATTCATCGATGACCTGGAGGAAGGGACAGAGTGCACCCTCAGCAAGTTTGCTGATGATACTAAACTGAGGGGGAGAGGCTGACACACCAGAAGGCTGTGCTGCCGTTCAGAGGGACCTGGACAGGCTGGAGAGCTGGGCGGAGAGGAACCTCCTGAAGTTCAACAAAGGCAAGGGCAGGGTCCTGCACCTGGGGAAGACATAACCCCATGCCCCAGTACAGGCTGGGGACTGACCTGTTGGAAAGTAGCTCTGCCGAGAAGGACCTGGGAGTGCTGGTGAACAACAAGTTAAACATGAGCCAGCAGTGTGCCCTTGTGGCCAAGAAGGCCAATGGGATCCCCTGGGCTGCATTAGGCAGAGTGTTGCCAGCAGGTGGAGGGAGGTGATCCTGCCCCTCTCCTCAGCCCTGGTGAGGCCTCACCTGGAGTACTGTGTCCAGTTCTGGGCTCCCCAGTACAAGAGAGACATGGCACTCCTGGAGAGAGTCCGGTGAAGGGCTGCTAAGATGATGAAGGGACTGGAGCACCTCTCCTCTGAAGAAAGACTGCGAGAGCTGGGCCTGTTCAGCCTGGAGAAGAGAAGACTGAGGGGGGATCTAATCAATGTGTGCCAGTATGTGAAGGGGGATTGTCAAGAGGATGAGGCCAGCCTCTTCCCCGTGGTGCCCAGCAACAGGACAAGAGGCAACAAACTGAAACACAGGAAGTTCCTTCTGAACCTGAGGAAAAACTTCTTTCCTGTGAAGGTGACTGAGCATTGGAACAGGTTGCCCAGAGAGGTAGTGGAGTCTCCTTCCCTGGAGATATTCAAAACCCGCCTGGATGTGATCCTGGGCAATATGCTCTAGAGGACCCTGCTTGAGCAGGGGGGTTGGACTAGATGATCTCCTGAGGTCCCTTCCAACCTCAACCATTCTGTGATTCTGCGATTCTGTAACATGGGCAGAGACTTTCCATACTAGGCTTCACCTGCAGGTGAGGTCCCCCCACCATTACTAAACAAGGCTTTACTCAAAATGGCGCAGCTGTTTCCGAAAATAAATTCAAGGTGGAAAAAATTTTTACCATGTTTTCTGTTGAAAAGCTACAGCAGCTCAGTGCTGATGGCAAAGGTATACGTACTACACCAGTCAGGGCAAACTGCTTCCACCAAGATAATACATGCAATTAACGGCCCTCTCCTGAGGCCTTTGAAAGGCAGATGTCCTCATCATATGATGGGCACAGTCACAAGAGGATGATCCCCCAAGGGAGAGGCGGCGGAAAGTATACTGCTGCCATCAGTGCTGGCCTGGGACCGTAACCCGCTCCATGCTGCTCTCTGAGACACCTCCTGCCAGGAGCAGGATGCACAGATTGGTCACAGGTGCTTTCCAGAGCTGGGCAGGAATTGTTTCACTTTAGTTCCTCCAGCTCTGACTTATCCTGTCAGAGACTGTGGGGAGGTCAGAGTAGGAAAGTTGGAGCGGGGGGAAGAATATATTAGACTCATAAACAAGAAGGAAGCCTTAAGAACAAGCAGTACATCCCTGTTGAAGGGTAGCTAACAAGCACCCACCATATACAAAAAGCTGGTGAAACACAAGTCAAGGACAACTAACAACACACGCATCCGCTAAGCGCCGGATTGGCTGGCAGCCTGGAAAAAGTACCATTCTTTTAAATCAATTAATAAATTACATTTGATCAAACAAAATATTTTTGATAAAGGTCATTGCTGCATGTCCTCCGAGCAGGACTGTAGGCAACAAACAATTACTCTTGCCCCCGAGGTTTTAAATCACGCACTGAAATTTAAATGCTCGCTGTATCCTTTGCAGGATATCTTCTCCTTGAAGCTTTTCCTTCCCACTGCTCACAATTGATGAAGAAGCAAAAAACAAACTGCTAATGACTGCAGAGGAATCAAGCGCAATGATGATGCACCACAGGGCTTACGTACACATCATTCATTCGGAAAAAAAACGGCAAGGCATATTCACATTTGCCTGAAGGCACAGGGAAGGCAGAGTTTGTATATACAAATCCACCTGCACATACACTACTGTGCTACTTAGGGTTAGATAAGGACGACTTAAAGCCAATCCTCTTCTCTCCCAGGCACAAACAGCCATCGTTAGGCCGTTTACTTATTGCATAGCAAAGGCACATGTACTGCAGCATATAATCACATAACCATAAAAGCCATTCTTTATCTAATAACATTCAGAGAACAGTTAGTTTCTGGAGATGACAAAGTTCAGCCAAGTGAAATCTTATGCTACGCTACAAGTCGTTATTTTTAAAAATTCGCCATTACTTCTTGGCCAGTTTATAGCCTTAAGGAAAGTATCGTGAACTGTGGCACAATGTGCTCACTTCACTGCCGAACAAACAAGAGCTTGGAATGGAGATACTTTAGCCCTTCGTTATTTTTTGAACTCTCAACCTTTTTGTTCAGTAAAAATATTTGCACTATGCTAGTTATTTTATAGGAATTCTCTCCTCTGGAAGGAGACAGAAAATGAGTGAACAAGTTACAGATGACTGTTTCACAGTTCAAACACGGGCAACTCTTAGCATATCCTTCACCCACACAATCACTCCATCAAAATAAAGCAGTGGAAAGAAAATCACTGCTATTTGGTCTCCGACTTTGTCATAACTTTTTCCTCTTACTCCACACCCTTGGTTTCCAGCACTGTTCATTGAGCAGTACCTATTATTTGCACAACCAGAAAGTTTCTGAGCTTTCAGGCTGTAAATCTTGCTCCATCTCAACACGCCTCTCTCTTCCGTTAATGACAGCTTACGTGACAGTAACTTAAAGCACTGCTCTTTCTATAACAGCCAGGATCAAAGCATTTGCGGGCACCCCGGTAAGGTAGGCGGCAGGAGGAAGCAGACCCAAATGCTGCCATTAGGGACTGGGGCATTTACAAAAGATGAGTAAGGGCAAGCAAGAGAAAATACTGAGGGGGAAAAAAAAAAAACAACAACAACATGCTGAGCAAGAAGAGTGAAAGAATTTGTATCTAAATGGGCTCTTGGGATGAATGCATGGATAGAGCATGAAGTGAAAACGGAAATGAGGGTGAATTCAACAGCCTGACAAAGCAAAGCTATTCTGTCTCATTGCAACAGCACCAAATTGGCAAATTGCAGCCAACTAAGAGGTATGAACGAAAAAGAAAATACAAAATGAGAAAGGAAATAAATACAAATACTGTTCACTGTAAAGAATGCATTTTGCATCACAGTCCCCTTTCTGCCGTTAGAACTAAAATTTTTCTGTGTCCTTTATTATCTCCAGACGTTGATTTTTCAGCTCTACTTTTTCTAAATGTGATGTTACAGATTATTTTGCAGATATTTTTCTGTTACAAAACATACTTACAAAGATGCTTGAAAGTTACCTGCCAAATACCTAAGTTCAGTCAGTAAATATCTATGAAGAAAAACATTTTTGCAGGTGCATCTTGCATCTGCAGTTACAGTACCATTTTTGTACCTGTCAAAGACTGTAGCTTTCACCTTTTATTACTACACCAGAAATGTATTTTTCAAAAAGATGGTACTGATTAAAAAAAAAAAAAAAAACCACACACACACAAGAATCAAGTGTTAAAATACACAGCAGTTCTCTTCCTGTCGCTTACCGATCACCAGAACTGACCACTGGAAAAGGAGAAAAATCCAAATGAATCTTTTAAAATTATTTTTAGAATGTATTACTAACAAAAGGAAACATGCCCTCTCATATGTCATGGGTAGCATTAGTGCCATTCATCTAGTACTTAAAAACATTTATAGTCCTATGCTACGTTACGTAGTTTTTCTCTGACGCTTTTACATCTGCAGAACAAACTAGTATCTTATCTCAAGATCTTTTTTGTCTAGCAAGTGCTTCAAAATCCCCTCTTAAGATAGTCTTCCTTTAAACGGCAGTAAAACAGAACTTCAAAATACATCCGATTCGACTCTTAAGAAGGTACCACGGGACCCATATAAACGCAACCCAAAAGTTTTAGGTAACAGGAAAACGATACAGGATGCCATGGATCTCCATCACAGCATATGTTATGCAGCCCACAGCACTTAAATTACAACCATGTGTGGCATCTCGTTCAGCAATGTGACAGGAAATACCATTTTTAGTATATTAAAATGACAAACAAAAAGGCTGGCTGAAATAAATAATAGTTGATCCTAAATTCACCAATAGCAGTGAACCCAAAAGCCGAAACTCGGTTCAATTCATCCTGTTCTGCCGGAAAACAATCTTCACGTTCATCAGGTTTACTCAGCCCCTCAGCATTTAATGAACAGTCGCTGCGGCTTAATTTCGTCCCTTTATTCCCGCGAGGATGAAAAGAAGAGAATTCCTATATCCCGTTACTGAGAGATTTTACAGGCTGTAGCTATTACTGGCTCCGTTGTTGCTTCTAAAATCCCCGATGAAATCTGCAGGTGAGATACTGCTCAACCTTGGTGCCTTGCTGAGGGACACCTTTATCTGCTCCTACGCGGAAACCAGGAATAGTGAGTTTCTAGCTCTTCCAAGGTGCAATTCGAGCTACTGACTTCCAGTGGCCCCACGGGCTGGTGGCCGAGGTGCCCCCTGCCGCCCCACCACGCGATGCACCAGTTTTATTTTTATTTTTAACTGGGAAGGGGTCAGCTAATGGGAAAGGGCTGCCTGGGGGTGACAGGGATACACCTTCCTCCTGCAAAGCATGAGGCAAGCGCACGTAATGTTTAGTGGACTGTACTCATAGTCCCAGATATAGAGAAAGGCATAATTTTTTAAATGCATTCATTACCACTGTGACTTCAACCCTATTAAAGCCACATATCCTCTAAATAAGTGCTCTACGCAGCACCTGAGCACGTATCTCATGCGTGCCACTTCCACGGTGGCGTTTTATTGTGTCAGCATAGCTAATGGTTCCCAACTCAAAAAAAAAAAAAGCAGACTCAGCAACACGCATATATCTTATAATATCCCCCCCACCCCACCCCACACACACAGCGTAACAAAACAGTTAAATAATCCCTTCAAAACCAGCTGAAGCCTCCACACAACCTGCTCCGCGCGCGCAGAGTTAGGGGTTAAAGCCCACCCGGGAAAGGCTACGGACCCCAGCGACTACGACCCACGAGCACGCCGCGCGATCGAGGTCTCCGACGGACAACGTGGAAATTCAGAGGCAAGACGCTGCGCACCATGTGGCGGAGCCGCCCCACGAGCCGCTACGGTTTGCTGTACAAACACGTAGACAACTCTTGCAGCGTTTCGCCATAAAGCGTAATGATTTCGCAGGAAAGTACACGTTCTCTGCAGTTTAAGTAACGAAGGACATATGGTACGTAAAATACCCTAATGTTTGTAAACTCTCGAAGTATCTAGGCAAAATATGGCAGATTTACCTCTGCACTTTACATCCATATTCTTCGCACCACCGTTTTATCAGTTAACTATGC